CAGAGCTACAATTAGTTTTTGTCAATGTGTCAAATTTTACTTTACCATCCATGGTCTCATCAGACGAATCAGAATTGAAAGACAGCTAGTGTTTTCGCAATCATTGAAGTTGACTTTAGTTTGTGATTAGTCAGATTATTTCAGAGAATTTCAAGATGTGTGAAATAGTCAATAGGGAGTTGAAGTGCTACCATGAACGTTAACGTTAAGGTACACCTTGAAAATCAACGTACGTTAACCAAAATATGCCATTGAGTCAAGAATGGTCAAAAATATTGAAATATTGAAGCCTGGGCTTGGATCTCCAAATAGTTATTCTTCAAGGTTTCCACTCATTTTAACACGAATTGTTGTTCAGATCTAAACAAACAACCAAGAAGGACCAAAACTAACCGAGAACAAAAGATAATTTTTACGTGACGATGGCATTGATGACTTCAACTCAATTTAAGGGTAATCCGTTATTTTTCGTACGTTTACGTCTACGTCGAGGTCTACGTACAGTGTGTACTTCAACTCTCTAATAAGTCAAATGAGTACATTATGTTATCATTTTGTTGTTGTTGTCCTATCCGTCATGTTATTATTTTGAATCTAGTGTCCCAATCGTTGGGTTCCGTTTCGGATTCTAGGTAGATGAAAAATAATTTTAGGAAAAACTGATCCCGCTCATGATTGAGGGCTTTATCAATTTATTTATTCGTTGGTTTGTATGATACATAATGTTCAATCATCTGTAAGGAATTACTGTTTGTTGGTTAATCAAGGGGGTGCGGTACATTCATTTTGCCTGATTATTAAGGATTTTCTCTCCTTACACGAAAATATGTGTGTTATTTGAATACACGTGTAGTAGGGCAAATCAGATGATTTGCCTCAAAATATCACTGTGTTAAGAAAACATTTTTTCAGGGAACCTCGAAGAAAAATATAATCGTTGGATTCGTTGGTCAGTGACACTCTGTTTTGAAAAATGTTTGAAGAAAAGAAATATGAATATATTGAAAATTTATCGAATTTTTACTTATTTTCAAACGTTTCGGGAAAGACTATACTATCGTTTTCAACATGAAAAATGTAAAATTTCAATCTTTGAAAGTCAATTTATCATACACCCGAAAGCAAAAATCAATCTTTGAAAATTGTTTTATATTGTGTGACACTTCTCAGTGACAGACTGATTTTGGCATAATAAATGAGTGATGTTAGTATACAAATGAGTAACAGGATGTTTCCATTAATTGATTTTGAATCTACCATTTTCGTCTTCAGTTCTCAGTAGTGGATACCATGTTCTATCTATATCACCTGAACAGGAAGCAATGCTATTGTCTCCGTTCAGAAGAATGCAAGCGGATTACTTGATTTTTCTCTTCTGGTTATCTTCCTTTCATATGATTTTAATATTATTTCACTCTGAGAACTGAACATGAAAATGGTAGATTCAAATGCAATCATCCTGTTACTAATTTGTATACTGACAATACTTATTTCTATGCTAATATCAGTCTGTCACTGAGATGTGTCACACTATAGGACATTTTTCAAAACTTGGAATTTTACATTCATCGTGTTGAAAACGGAATCAGTCATTCCCGATACGTCTAAAAATGTTTCTTTTCTTCAAACATTTTTCGAAACAAAGTGTCACTGACCAATATTGAATCTCTTTTAGACTCCCCGATGGGAACATTTTTTAAACGCAGTGACATGTCGAGGCAAATCATCTAATTTGTCCTACGAATATTGAAATAATAGTCATATTTTTATTCCATAGAAACGAGAAGAGGGTATACCAGATTGATACCAGATAATGAAGCAAAATGTCTGTAAGGAAATTGTAGTTTTGAATTTTAAAATATCACAAAGAAAGATGAATTCGTACCTTGGAATTTTTGTTCATTTTAATAAAAAGCAGATCTGTTCCATAAAAGGCCATGCAAAGAATCCTAAAAATCTAGAGAATAAAGCATTTCAACTGTTTTCACGAAATAATAAATTCCCTCTTCGTAGCTTTGCTTGATTTTTCGTGATATTCTGAAACCTTTTTTTTTTCTAAGCATATTTTCTACCCTATATACTCACCTGGAATCCAGAACCCATCAAGAAGAAACTCAATCTCTACAAAAAGTATATTGATCATTTTGATGAACTTGAATGACATTCACTTGTAACGAATAGACTTGTGTTCCAGATTTGAAGTGGCAAAAGCATTGGGACCTAAATCAGTTTCGTTTTTGCGATACAGGGTGTCAAGTGTTTTACAAAAACATCAGTGAGTTTCTTGTTGACATATCTTGAAAGCGTTTCAGCCGATTTTAATGAGATTTCAACCATATATTTGAACAATAAACGGACACCTACTGGACCATTCAGACTTGATCCAGAATTTTCATAGGCGTTCCCAGAATCTACATAAAGTACTCTATAAGATTTCAATGATAAAAACATTATATTTGTCTCATGTAAAGCACCTAGTGTTATACGACCTGCATGCATAATTCGATCATCATTTCAATGGTATTATTAAGAAAAAAAGGAAGCTCAAAATCATATCTAGGACAATTTTCAATTATACCATTGGTTGAAACCCAAAAGTCCCTATGTCTTATTTAATGCGTGTTTCAATAATGTTAGAGAACGTTGGATAATGATGTTTAGATTTAGGTACACATAATGAAAATAACGAAACAAAGAATAATTTATGTTTCTAAAGTGGCTCAAGGTTAGCTATTACTATTTTGTTCGATAGTTGTTTGGAAACCGACTATGAAAATATTTGTTAAATCTGTTGAATGATTAGGTCTGATCAGTTTTGTGCATCTATATACAATACACTTTCATTACAAAAATAATAAATAGTTCATTTATCAACTTGACCGGTTGACTAACACTTGCAAACTTTCTATCAAATCTCTCTCAATTTTCGATTTTGTTGATGAAATGAACTATACTGACATTGACAGTATATAAATACGCTCTGTGTGAAATCAATCAAGAAGTTATGAATAGATAGTGATTCGATCTTTCAATATCAGAACAATATCGAAATGACTACAACATATATGAGATATGTCGAATAGTTGGAATATCATTTACGTTGTTTCTTTCTGTTTCATATGATTCTATAGCTACTGAAGATGAACAGAAGTATGACATCAATAATGCATTTCAGACTGCAAAAAATTTTAATTGAGTATAGTAGCAAATGTTTTTTTTAATATTAATAATGATTATTCGTTCTCTTTATCTTACTTTTAGAGAAAAGTGATTGAATTTTAAAACGATATACAGTTCTCAACACACTATCTGTACCACTTCCAATTTAGGAGGTGTTGCGAAGTGAATATCCCATTATACACGTCACGTTTGGGCATGATTTTTTCTCAAGTATACATTTTCTTTCAGTTATGCATCCGAGAATATTTGTAGAAATTTATCATTTAAAATTCGAAATTTCTTTGTATTCCTTGATATTATCATAAATGATCCTCGGTTCAGAGCATATAAATGAAAAGTATTATAAGTATGCCTGGTCTAACTCCACCCTAAAAGGTATGCTCAAAATGTATCCACCTAATTTTCGGTCATTGCGCTAAACACATGAACAATCTTTGCTCTAACGTGTATTTAGATCTATGCTCTAACACTATAGGTATTTCAGAAATTGATGATTTAACTTGAATTATTGTTTCGGAACAAACGTGATTCTGATCGGGTTAGTTGAAATGAATTATTTTAACACTGCTATTGAGCGATAAAAAGCTACTTGTCCGCTTAATCGTCGCTGTTGCTATGGTTACCCCCAATATTTATTCAGATATCACCTGCGTATGTCTTGATATTTCGACTTTTTCACACTTCAACTGTTTTGCTATCTTCTTTTTTCATATTTCTCAAATCTCTCTACAGCAGGAGTTTCCATCCTTTCCTTAGTCAGGGACACCTTATCTCATATTAATATATTCTTGTTAGCAGGGACCATTATGTAGATGTACTAAAGATAAACTGTTAATTGAAAATTCGATAGGATATTCAAAATAAAATAATATTTTCAGGATAAACTTCTGTAATTTTGTCTTGATATGATTCCTGAGCTTGCATCTTTTTCACGAGTTCGGCTATCCTAAGACCAATATTGTTACTCAAAGCTACACGCGAATCATCACTTACTTTCAAACGATCTCTTTCCTAGTTTACATTTACCAACAAACAGGCAATCCTTGTTCACATACATAAGTTGTTGAGAAATCCATGAAGTTTAGTATAAGAAATTGCTCTTTTACTCCAAAACAACTCAAGAGAATTCGATTCAAAAGCTTCCACACAGTTCCTGTCATTTTGCAATTCAATGAGTTCTTTCTGGATTCCTTCAGTAATTTCATCAGGGTCCGTGCTAAATGTGCTACGAATTAGTTTTTGATCAATTTTAGCTTATTCCATATATCATGGGAAGTGACGATTGAATTCATCAATCAAAATATGTACATTAGTCTTCATGTTTTCTTATGTATATTTGCTTTACTAGCGTTATACTTTTCGTATTCTACATTACCACCATAACTGCTTTTGATGTTGCAAACGCAGTATCATCATTTTCTTCAATTTTACGTAACCATAACTAAAGTTTGCAAGTAAAAGCACGAAGTTAATTTCAAAAAAGACTATATCTGACGACAAAATCATTCGCAGACCATACTTTGGCTCCTACGGACAACTGATTGGAAACCATTGCGCTAGAGAAAATATATATACTCTACAACACGTCTGGAATGGTTTATTCCGAACTCTAATACCATATTCCTCGCCTACGGCTCGGGCTACAAACTTTTCACCCTTTTGGAATATAGGCCATTTCTCTGAGGTCACTCCGATACTTGTTGTATTGGAGTATATCGAATTATGGTGTGTTGGTTATATATTTTTGTTATCAACTGTACTATGTGATACACTTTGGCTAGTATGAAACTATTCATTGACATCCATTTCGTCTTTCCCAGGGTATTTTATTCTACATACCAAGATGGCTGTGGCGATCGTGGGAGGGGGGCAAAATCCACGCTCTGATGATGGATCTCGATGTTGCTGTGTGCTCGGAAATCGAAAAGAAGCAGAAGAAGAAGCTCATGATCGACTATTTGTGGGAGAACTTGAGGTATCACAACTGGTGGGCCTACAAATATTATTTCTGTGAAATTCTTGCCCTTATAAACGTAGTTGGTGAGTAAGTAGCTAAAACATATATCTCTTGTTTTAAAGTAACAATAACTCGAATAAACCGCTTTTGTAGTAACTATTGAGATATTCATGGCCCGTTGCTGACTTTCATATTGAAATAACGAAAAATGAGTTCTTCTAACACATCGGCTGAAGCATACGTTGCCATGAATATGATCAAATTGAATGTTTGATCGTTCGTGTTATTTGTTTAATTGTATGGCCTATTTTGTTATAACTATCGATTAATTCAATGTGTGAAAGCAAAAACTTCCAGACACCAGAACTGATATAGCTATTTTTAACATTAAAACATTTGCCAACGTATGTATAGTACTTAATGGTACCTGGTGTTGGGGGTTCTCGTTAGCAGAAATGAGGTATTCACAAGTACTTATCCTAACCTCCTGAAAAAAATAGATTGACTACATAATTCATCACAATTTTTCGATTCTTCAGTACTATTTACTCATATGTTATACGATTCCATCATTACGCGAATAAAACTTCAATATACAGGGTGATCCACGGTGGATGGCCTATTAGAAGTATCTGAAGAACGAGGAGACAAAACATTCTGAAAATTGGAATGCTTTGATAATTGAACATTTTCTATCCGTCTTAAATATTTTCATCGATACAGAAACAACTTTTAAATTTTAGGATTTTTTTGTGTCGAAACTATTCATTATTGATCAAAATGGTTCACATCTCCCCATTTCAACTTTTGATTCACTATCTACTGAAATTTGATTGGAAAAAATACAGGGTGCTTCAAGATTCAGAATTCTGATCACCCTGTATCTGTTTCAATCAAATGTCAGTAGATAGTGAATCGAAAGTTAAGATGGGGACATGTGAACCGTGATGATCAATAATGAATAGTTTCGACACAAAAAAAATCAAAAAATTGAAAAATCTCGATTTTGAACACCCTATATCTCTGTAATCACTCCTGCTAGACCCATGCAATAAAATACAGGGTGCTCCGTTTAAAATAACGAAGTTGTCAGTTGTTTCTGATAGAAGTGGCAACACTGTATCGATGAAAACATTTTAGACGAATAGAGAATGTTCAATTGTCGAAGCATTTCAATTTCCAAAATGTTCTGTCTTTTCGTTCTCCAGATACTTGTAATAGGACATTCACCGTGGATCCCCTTGTATATTAACAGAAAAACCTAATAATGTGGGCATACTTTTTTAATTCTTGACTGGATCACTCGGATGCAACTCAGGCAGGAGAAACATTTTATTCAGGTGATTTGGGTTAAATCTTCATATTTTGAGCTCAGGATTCTATAGAACTATTTCCAATAAAACACCCTCTTTAATCCTGAAATGAAAACATTACTTCAACCACTTTGACGAAGTGGACGGGCTGGAAGGATCAATATTACAAGAATTCAGTTTCAATTCGTTCAGTTTCACTCTGATCAGAACCTTTATTGAATTTTTCAGGGCAAATGTTTCTAATGAATCGCTTCTTCGACGGAGCCTTCATGATGTTCGGCTTCGACGTCATCAGCTTCATCAACAGCGACCAAGAGGACAGGATCGACCCCATGATCCAGATCTTCCCCAGAATGACCAAGTGCACTTTCCGGAAATACGGCGTGTCAGGAGACGAGGAAAAGCACGACGCCCTCTGCATCCTGCCTCTCAACGTCGTCAACGAGAAGATTTACGTGTTCTTGTGGTTCTGGTTCATCGTGCTCTTCGTACTGACGTTCCTCACGGTCATCTACCGAATCATAATCATCTTCTCGCCTCGGATGCGGGTCTATCTGCTCAGGATGAGGTACAGACTGGTGCGCAAGGACGCTATAGACACCATAGTGCGGAGAAGTAAAATGGGGGATTGGTTCTTGTTTTACATGTTGGGGGAGAATGTGAACTCGTTGATTTTTCGCGATGTGCTGCAAGATTTGGCGCACAAGCTGAATAGGCACGATTTCCACCACGGGCCCGGTTTCAAGGGAGAGATACAGGAAGCGTGATGGTTATGTCTTTGGACGAAACAGTTTTGTGAACGGTGATCGTTTTTGATTTGTCAACTCTTGAATTGAATGAATACAGAAAGCTCAGTCATCTCCACACAATGTTCATAAAATGAACAGCAATGGAAGATTTCGGGAGAAAAACAACTACTTTCCTGGCTAATGCCACGCAAAATATTGAATTACATCCTCCCGAAATCCATGCATCGACTCGTATGAAGGAAAACTGATACAAGTGGTTATTTCCTGAATGCCTATTGATTTCGATTTAGCCAGGCCACACTAGACATCTACAGACCAGTTTAAAATAATGTAGATTTCGGGAGGATGTAATTCAATGTTCTGCGTCGCGTTAGCCAGGAAAGTAGTTGTTTTTCTCCCGAAATCTACCATTGTTGTTCATTTTATGAACTTTGCGTGGAAATGACTTTGAGCTTTTCGTATTTATTTAACTTTTCATCCCACTTTGAGCATTTCGTATTTGGAAATCTTCAGTTTCTGATTTCGATTGCAAATCGAATTAGAACCCATATCTAGAATGGATATCTGACTGAAAAATCTGTGGACCATGAATCCCCATTCGACAAAACTATACAGGGTTTTCAAACTTAAGTCGGCATTAATGCTATCTTGGCTATTATTGTAGCTAAAAAGTCAGTTAAATAGATAAACTTGTAGTGATTTTCTTCGCTGATTTCGATGACGAAAGCGAAACAATGATCTAACAACGCAATCGAGAATTTCTTTTCATGTTTATACGAAGTTTTGACCAGTAGTCTACCTCGATCATCCTCAACTAACACAATCACTTTGACAAATTTTGAAAAATCAGCATTGTGACTTCACATCGTAGTGGCCATAGAAATAATCTTCACATGTGTCGCCTCCCACTTATGGACCATGTGAATACCTATGACAGTAATGATTGACAGATATGAAATGCGAATGTTACATTCTCCATAAGTGAAAGGCTAGATAATAAAATTACTATCATTTATGGAAACCCTGTATTTTTGTTCCGGTGCTCCGGTATAAAACGGTTCATCCTAGATTTGTACTACTGTAGTTGATTTACTCTAAAGATTCAACTAGTCAAAAATCGGAAGGAAATTTGTGAATTTGGAGTCTGAAACGATTGCCATGTATATTTTTTAGAACGAATCGAAACATGTGTCTTGATAGTTTCAATTCGTACTGAATGCTGCATTTGAAATGTTTTTCTGAGAATCAAATATTAGAAATATAAATCGTTGATTGTATTCCAATGCTGGGCAATATCCAACAATAGACACTAAAACCGAAGAAGATTACATACAGTCCTTTATTCAATAATAATATTCGGGTGGTTTAGCCTGCTGTATGGTCTTTGCTCTCAAGTCATGAAGGTTCACATGTATTCTGGAGATATATTTTAAAATCATTGCCAAATAAATACCGTCAAAAATATATATACAAAATTCATTCTTATAAACTGATTGGAATATGATTGAACTTGAAATAGCTTCATATACGTCGGTTTAGAACTGTGATCTATGATTTGAGGCTCATTTGTGGAAAAGATAAACCCTTGAATTTCACTTCTGGCGGTTTTTTGTCGACCTCTACGAAAATTCACATTTTACGTTTTACTACTTTTAGTCCTTTGCAGGGTTGCCAGTTCCACTGAATTTGCATATTTATCTACTGACCTACTGATTCACATCAAATTCCATTTTTTATATACCTCTGTTATAACAGTTTGTTTCTTGCGTTTAATTTTTTCATTTGTTTTGTATTTTTGTTATTCATTTTAACTATTCGTTCATGTTATTTATATACTCAAATCTTATAACTATTTATGTAACTGTATTTTGTGATATTTATGAGAATTTTAAATTGAGAATTAGGAATATGATTATTTTTGTATGAGAATGTTTGTTTCGTTTCTTTCTATTTTGTTAGAGATAGGATACTTTTCTGTTTACTAGAAGTACATAATGTTGTGACGTCATAGATTTATTTCAATATCCTTTCTCAGAATTCTTATAGCATAAAATAGATCTTAAACAGATTATTGAAATCTACTGCATTTATGACAAGGTATTTGCTTATAAATAAATGAAAGAAAAAAACTGGCAACCCTGGTCCGCGCGGAGAGTGAGTTGACCACAACTGACATTTGCTGTTGTCAAATCAATTATTCACGAAATCCGATAGATGTCACGTGTGAACAGGACCGTGATGTAAATATAAGTGGTTGAGCCGTTTGAGGTCGACGATAAAATCTAATATGCACCTCGGCGAAAAACTATCCTTTGTATCACCTGATTGCTAGCCTCGGCTAGGGCCTCGTCTATAAATTCGCAGACTCGACTATAATAGACGGTGTTTCGTCTTTGGTACATAAATAACAATCATTTCGTATTTTATAGAGCTGGGAAAACATAACTTATCAAGGTTTACTCCTGATGGATAATTATCATTGGAATGCAAGGAAATATTAATTGTAATTAGAATATGCGTAGGTATCATATTTCGTTGATTTATTTCATTGGTAAAATATCTGCGTTTCTGTTGAAATTGTATAAAAACATTCCTATAATAATGTTTTCAATATGTTTGAAGAATATATTTGTTCAGTACCTGTCCGAAAAAAAATTGACAATAACCACGTTGCATTGTGCCATTGTATTGAAAAGGTAATAAATTATTGAATTTTTTGTATTATTTGAGGGATAGTTTATTCAAAGAAATTACCCATATCTTCTACATTCGCCTCATCAGAAAAAGGTTGTTATTTTCAAGTCTCAACTAGTGCACGATATATGATTACCTCATCACGTGTGCCAAAATGGCTAGAAAAGTACTCATGGATTTTGAAGAAGCAGACAAACCAGTTATAATTCCAACGATTTGATAGTTGATAGTAATATTCAAATATGTTTTGAAACATAGTAAATCTTCGGAAAGAAGTAATTCTGCAGAATGTCTTACAGACAAAATTAGTCATATATCTATCTATATTCATAAAATGCTGTGAGGATTGGTTGATTCCTATAAATCAATAAATATCTTTCCATCGGTAAAAACTTCTGGATGAAATCATTTACTTTGAATAGGTTTAATATTTCTGAAAAACAATGTAAGTGGTTTTAGCTTTTTGAATAGGAACCTTTGAATCGCTCAAGGTTACAATTTTATTTTTAGTTCTTCAACAATCAACAGGGAACAAATATAATTATATTGTGGTGGATACCCATGCATGGACCTATTATGTGGATAATAGTAGTTCTATGTTACTCATCATCGATTCATGGTAAATCCACGGATCTTCAAATAGATTTTAATTATGAATCATCTTATTTAGAGTTCGCCTATCGTCAACTGAATGAAAAAATAAAATCTCAGATGGTATGTTGATATTTTCGGATTATGAAAAAATAGACAAAGAATTCGGTAATCATGAGTGTACCAAAATGTCGATAGTTTCAACCCAGGTTTCAACGATGGCATGTTGGGAATTTTCTCCTTTTGAAAAAATTTTGGAAGCATAGAAAATCAATTCCAATATTCGAGATGAACCTACATCCTTAGAATCTGTATGAAGTGTAGGTATGTTTCCGCCGTAAAACTTCTCGAAACCAATATCACTATAGAATGAACATATTTGGTATCTATTGTTATTGTGCAGATATATACCCTATCATCATTTATGGACTATCAGGTGGAATTCAACAGAATCAGATTATTCATCACAAGGACTTCCAGAAATATAGGAGAGGATGTTTTTTTTTACCAAGGTGGTTGAAATCCTTTATGGACATCATTTGGGTCTAATCCCCCGTTCGATCGTGTGGAAGTCCCCTGACTCCAGGGTATACCCATTGAATCTTACCTACATACCGTTATCAATTTTACCATGAACGACTGATAGGGCTCATCGAAAGCCTATTCAATATGAATGACACCATTCGTTCAGGTTCCTGAAGATTACTCTTCCGATCCCTGTTCTCGTCTACGAAGAAGGCCAAAAGTTAATGACACCATTTACCTCGATAACATCATTCATCCATAGCCACGGGTTCCCACAGCATGGATTAGGTTGCCAGAGCCTTGTTGACCAGTACTTGGCCACCTAGATAGATATCAGCAAATCGCCCCATCCTTGCTACAGATGTCCACAAATAATTGTTCCATCTAGCCCGGAGTTAGCAAGGATGGTCCCAAAATACTTCATCTGTCGAGGGGCCGCGTTCTGTTTTATCCACACCACTTGATGGTGAGGTTGGGTTTGGAGCGGAAGAGGAAAGAGAGTTTGGCCAAGGAAGGCCGATAGGATAGATTGTAAAAGGAAGAGAGATGAAGATATCATCCAAGACAAGTTGAAGTTTGGTGAATATCCGGCTAGGGTACCTCGGGTTCACCATTTCCGTACTCAAAAGTTGTAAGCACCTGAGGGGGAGAGAATGGGTACTACTCACTCCTCCTGTGAGACAATTTTTTGATTTCAGGATAGGAAAAATTGAGTTTTTCACCATTTACCCATGTTGTCTCACCCTTACCCAAGTTCGATTTGGACTTTTCGTATGATACATATACCAAGATCACACCGAATATATCAGAATTAAATTACGTGTGATTTTTCTTCTTTGTGTGTTTTCATCTTAATGTGGCTCAACCCGGGGTACAATGAGAAAAGAGATCAAATCGTATTCCACTGAGAGGAACAATAGATTTTGTTCAGTTAAGAAATATAAAACACATCGTTCTTATGAGTCATACAACATGGAATTTGTTCAAAATAAAAACAAAAGAGATTTATCTTATTTCTATTGAATTAAAATTCATTCCGAACTAGATTGAACCAATCAGTAGTTCTAGTACTCTTCCTAAGATAACTATATCTGTACTGGGCCTTTATTTATGACGTATCATTGTGCCCTTCTATGGTAGTGTCTCATTGTGGTCTGAACGACATCTGAGATTCAGTACGAACCTGCTTCTTTTATTCATCAAAATAC